CCGTCTCTCTCAAACACAGGCACACACACACACACATTCACACACATTGTGCAAAGGTGGCTGTGGAAATGCGGTGATTTGTTCCTCCTGACAGACAGGAAATAAGGGAGTCGACCAGGGACCTCACTTCCTCTTAGACCTGACTAACCTGACATCTATCAGACACCCCGACACCTACACAATCACACACGTGCACACACACACACACACAAATTCACACTGGCTTCTCCTCCACTCTTTAGTCTCTTCCTCTAATGCAAATGCGCACGCACACATATTCACAATCCATCAGCCTCCTAAGTCTCTCCTGAGGCCTGCAGAATTCGAATGTGGGATTAAATACTTGTCTGTGGGCAAAGGAAGAACATGTGCAGGACTGTTTGGTAACAAGCACCACGTACGTTTTAAAACAGGGTTTTTCCTGCATTGAGGAATTTTTTGTTGCCCTCCACCCCAAAGAGATTTTAGCCAATGCCAAAGGAATATCACCAGTGCCAAAATAAGTTTTTTAAAAATTGATTAAAAAGGCTTTTTTTTAGACAGTTTGTCAATTGAGGTTTAATTGACTCAAGCATAATTGACATTTATGTTTATCAAATGCCAGAAATAACTGAAAAATGAATATATTTCTGTCCAATAAGGTAACACAGAGTCCTTGCCTTTACTGTGTGTAAACTAATCATGCCTGCTGCCATGCGTGATCACTGCCCAAAGGCTCATTTTGTTCCTGGAAAGCCCCCGGTTTAAAATAGGGGTGGGCGAACTGCCGCTCTTACATTGTGGATGATCTTAATTTGGCATATGATTTGCTTTTCAGAGGAATCACACAGATTCGGTCAAGCATGTAATTTACTTTTAAAGTTCAGTCGCTGCTAACCAGCTAGCCCAAGTCGGTCCCATCTTGTCTTTCCCTGCCTACAGGGCTAGCTAAGTCGCTGTTGTGATGGTCCTCTGTGTCATTCAGCTTCCTCTCCACTGAGTCTCTCATCCAGCGGATGGATTCCAAATCTACTGTTTTGAGCTACAGCTGGAGACGTAGTTGTTGCTCCACTCTCTCCAAGCTGAAGGGTCATTCCGACCAGAACCTGCAGCAGGTAAGGAACTAGTTTATGTGCCACTACGCTAAACTAACTGAGGCCACAGAGCAGAACAAAGACAGTATAAAGGCTGTGTGTGATGAAATAGCGGACCACTGTTGCCAGCTGCAGTCCAAAATGATGGAGTTTAAGTCAAGACAAGAGACTCACTAAAGACAGGCGAATGACATTAAGGACTGGAACATGTTTTTGACCTGCAGGTAGGAACATAAGACAGGACGAGCCAAAGGCGAGCTCATTAGCAGCAACCGAACGCTTACAAATGAAAACCCGACAATCACCAATTCTGGTCAGATTTTTTTTACAATAAAATCCAAGTAAAAACAGGATGCAGAAATTTGTGAGTTGGGCCTTTAGTTGAATTGACAGTCTATATGTCTAGGCAACCATGTGCAAAACTAATCACGTTATCACATAAATTCAGCCAAATCTGTGGGAAGGATTGTAATCCAGATTGTAGAGCATGACTCTACCTGTAAAGATGGTCCCGTGACATTCTGGCCAGATCATCCTCAACAAGTTTAAACCACATGAAAATCCATAGGTAACATGCCAAAGTAATGGATAGAGCTATAAACCTTTCAGCGACAAAATGTCCCGTATGCAATGTTCTCCAACCGTTATTTTTCATGAGCTGCAAATACTTGCCAGAGAAAAGCAGGCAATTCACCAAGGAAAATAAAGCATGTACAGCCAGACATAAGATTCATGAGAGTGTCAGAGAGGTAGAAAAGGCGTGATGAGGCTGTGGAGTGTGGACAATGATAATCAGTTAGATGAGGCTTTTAATTTACCCTCTCTTCATTACAACAAGGTTAAGCAAATTCCCATGTCCGCTTTAACTGTTTGACACTGATGAGAGTGAAAGACTTTTGTGTGTACGTGAGCGTGGGAGTGTGAGTGTCTATTTGATTTGGGTTTTGACATCATGCTCAGAACTTTCCCAGCCCACAGCCCACCATCAGAATGTCCTATGTGTGACCTCAATTCACTTGCATACCCAGTGGTCCAATCACCACCAAGCTCTGGCTTAGCTGAGCCAATGGCATGTGTCAAATCAAGCTAATCACACACTGATAGATTCACTAAGTGGGTCAGCATTGCAGTGGAAGTCTTTTCTTGGCCTGGCTGAAGAAGAAGGCAGCTTCCCTAATTCATCGTAAGAAGCTAAACTTTCGTAAAAACCCTTTAAAAATTTGACCCTCGGTGTATTTTTTATGCTAGAGAGAAGTGCAATGGTTTAACAGCTGGGATGCTTGAGCCACATTTTTATGCAATTACCTTGGGCAAGGTTAGAAATAATGACAACCAGCAGTATTTTTTCATTGAACTTTGCCTACTTCCAGACCATTATCATTATCCACATTAACAACTGGGACAAAATCATTCTCCACATATTATAAGCTTAATTGTCCATAACACTGTTGTTATGTGGACCTCTTCTGACTTTGCATTTTCACATTCTAAAGTTATTCAAAGAATTACATGGTCCTGTGTGATTTGGGTTTTTTTTTAAATGTTTGAAAATCGCACTGAAGAAGCACCAAAAAAAAAAATTGCACAGTGGTCACGTTAAAACCAGACTGTATCCCAAAAATCTTTTTATGTTTCAGCAGCATTATTAAAGACAGTGAGGCCTTCTGGACTCTGTTAGTGATGTGGAATATGATTGACATTTTGAAACACAGTCAATGTGACCCATCCTTGACTTCACTCAGAATATAACGTCTAGTTTGAGGCTCTGTCTGAATCCAGGCTGGAAACGTGAATCAGTCAAACAGCTGTAGAGCAGAACCCACTCAGTGACAGGGAGGCAGTGGGGGGGCCGGCGGATAAGTTATGAATAAAGAAAGGAGGGTGGAGAGGTGAGCAGATGAGAGGTGGAGGAAGGGGGGAGGAAGAGGGGAGAGACAGTAAAATGCTGCCGTCACTTAAACTCTAAAATGAAAGATCGATGAGCTTATTTAAATGTGCTCCCAGAGACGAGAGTTGGCTCATATAAACCCTCGCATTTATGAGGAGGGGTGTGGGCATCGATTGACTGAGAGAAAAGGAGAGAGGGAGTGAAAGAGGGAGAGGGGCAGAGAGGGAGGAGGGTGAGAGGGGGAGAGAGAGAGGCAGGGAGAGATCAGGAGGATCAACCTTGGCTCATGAATTTCATCCTTTTCCTCCTAAAATAAAACGTCCTAATAAATGCGAGGGATAGAGGGGTCGGAACCTGGAAAATCTACAGCCTTCGATTGGCCGCCTGGCACAGCTTATCAAATCAATAACCCCACCCCTCCGTACACCACAACCAGCCTAACCCCCGAATCTGTTTCACTAATTTCCAATTCAGCCCCTACCCATTCATCTGGGACAGCTGGACGGGCCTGGTGGGTCTGCGGGGGGTGGGGGGTGGGAAAGCTGGGGGTGTGGCAACATGGGTGCTGGTGGTGAGACCTTGACATTAATAGGAGGACGGAAGGAGCTGACTCTGCAGCCACGGCAGGGAGGGAGGCGGGGGGAAGGAAGACGGAGAGTGTGACTGCTGGGGAAAGAAGCGAGAGGAGAGCAACTTTTGACACACACAGAGGTGTTGTCATACCGTCATCATCGATTGAACTGCAGGCACAGCTTTCTGAGTGACAAGCACGGTGCGCCGCATTCCCTCTCCAACCTCCCCTCCTCCTCCCGCTCCACATTTTCTTCTCCTCACCCCCTTCCCCTACCACTCCCCTCTCCCTCATCTGCTCCATCTTACACCTCCTCCTCCTCCTCCTCGCCACACTCTGGACTTTCTCACCCTCCCGTTCCTCCTCTCCGCGCTCCCTCTTCACACTCATGCAGGCACTTTTTTCCTTCACTTAAAGAGCACACATATTCTCCATGTGTTCACAAACAGCACACCCCCACTTGTCTTTCACACAGGCACACATATACACGCACAAACATTCCTGAGACCCCTCCTCCACATAACCCCAAAGTCTCAGCCTTACATTCTGCCCACCGCGCCATCTGTGACCCGGAGAAAACTGCGTGTCAACATGAGCCTGACCTTTTCTGTGTTTTGGGTTTGCACTCTGACATGCTCCCATGAGGTACAAGCAGACATACATAGACACACATATAGATTCGTACATAGAAATAACACAAGAATGTCACAATATCTAGCTATTATAGCTACAAAAAAAAAAAAAACAAGCACATAAATGCACGTAACATGGCAACGCACTATATCCAGCTTTGGTCAGGAATCAATATCTCTTCATATCTGTCTTCCTTCCTGTTGCCACACTCAATTACTCTACACGGCACCCTCTGCATCCACAAGTCACACACACACTCATCTGGACACCTGCCAGTGCAACAGGGTCAACACTGGACTAATAGGAAACAACTTAAATTAATACACTGTGTGAAGCTGTGTGTGTTTATGTGTTTGTGCATTTGTGCCAAATGAAGAGCTGTAGTTAAGCAGGTCACTGACTAAGAGGGGGATTATCAGTGCCTGGAAACTGTAACACTCACACCCCTACCCCTCCAACCCCCCCCCCAACCCTATATGCATCCTCAATACCTTAATCCGTCAATCTATGCAAAGCATCAGAACAATAACAATAATCTAAACTGTAGAAGACACCTACCCTCCTCAATCAACTTGACTGAATTCACAAAAAAGGGGGGGAAACTAATGTTGTTGACCCAATAACAATCACCTTCCTCTCTATTCCCCTCCTGCAGAGACACAAACACATCACAACTGACAGACAAACTGTACCTGCTCTGATAAATCACTCCTTTTATTTATTTTTTATAGTCACCTAAGCTGCACTGTGATTTTCCCCAAATGCATACAGAAATACTCTTCAGTGTGCATCCTCTGACATTTGGAGCCAGGACTCCTGGGACTTTGATTCCTACCTTGGCCGTGCAACATGTGGCAGCTGCTGCCGAGAAGAAGCAGGAGGAAGAGGGGCAGACACCGGCTCCCGCTCCGGGTCGTCCCGGTCCCCACCACCATCATCTGCCGGCTCCCCGCTGCGGGTTTCTCCACACGCTCCGGAGATCCTTCTCGGCTAATTCCCGGTTTCATCCTGCGGGATGAGGTGCCAGTAGAGTCCGCTTGCGCTCTGCTTCTGCAACTCTCTCTCTCTGCCCTGCGCACGAATGACAAGAAGTCCGAGCCGAGGGGGGACAGGCTCCAGCACCCGGCAGCTCCGCGCTTTTGCCGGCGAAGCCAAGATCAGAGCTCACCGCTGGCGCTGCTGGCACACTTCCCCGCTCTCAGTCCCCAGCTCCGGCGTCCAAAACCCGGCAGGCAGCGGGGGTAAAGCCGGAGCAGCAGAAAACACAGAGTGACTTGCCCTCACTAGTGCGGCTTCACGGTGTGGCAGCACCGTAGTCTGTAACTGCGGCAGCGGAGCGTCCCTGAGACCTGTGACACCTCATTTTCATTTGGATTGATCCGAGCACAGAATTAATACATTTGAGTGTGTTTTAGACTTATCGGCTTATTCCCCTGCTATCGACCTCAAATCCGCGCTTGTTTTGATGTCTTCACCGGGGATTTGTCCCGCGGATCATTTAGCGGTCGTATTAGCAGAGAAGCGATAAAACATGTAAATCATCCGCCCGTGGTGTGCCCGTGTGGGAGCATGCTCCAAAATCAATCCGGTAATTGATTCCGCTCATACCCCCCGGATTTGGTCTGCAAACAAACTGCAAAAAGGACGCTGCGAGTCTCGTCCAAGTGTGCTGAAGGAGAAGTGTGTTATCTGAACTTACACATTAAATTAAGTGTGAAGTGTGTTCACGGGGGAAATCACCTCCACTCCCCCACGCACGGACTCCTCTCCTCGGACACCAGATAGGCTAACTTGGACGCGCCGTAGCTCGGGTTACACGGAAAAACGACACAACAGGTTACCAAAACCTAAACGTATTACAAGTTTCTCCACAACAACCGGGACTTTTTCTCGCTGTGCCGCCGAAGAGGAGTTAGTGAAAGCCGGAAAAGTGAACAACACTTAGGGAGACGCTGACGTTACTCTGCCGCCGCCGCCGCTGCTGCTGCTGCTGCGACACTGGAGCCTTTTCGCTCTTTTATCCGGAGTCTAACACGGTCCCCCCCAAAAAAAACAGTGAGCCCGGGGAAGGAACCGCCGCTTCAAACACGTCTTAAATATGTTTTATCGGTGTCCGTTTGTACTCACGGGAGTTTCTATCCCCAGTTAACGACCTTTTTCGCCGGTTTCCTCTGCGTCGGCACCCTGTTGAGGCTTGGGGAGCCGACTGAGGCGATGCGTCTCTCTCTCAACTGAACACCTGCCACCCTGCTCTCCTCGGCGCAGACTTGGGGGAGAGAGAGGGCTCCTGTTCAAGCCTTATTCCGAGTATCTCCCGCCTGGGCGCTCTTTCGTGAAGGCAAACGGCCGATATGTATTACTTTGAATTCACTTTTCCCACTGATACTCGCCGACTCTCTCCGTTAATCTCTCCCTCGATCTATCCCAAACTCAAAAACTAAACTTCCATTCACTATCATCCGTCGCCGCTGATTGGTGGAACCGGTTGCTCCCGCTGCTCCTATTGGATGATCCGAATTAGGGGGTGGGCCAGCACAGAGCGTGGTGGACGGCGCCCCCCCCCCCCCAATCCCATAAACCCCACACACTGGAAAACGTTTTGAAAGTATTCACTCAAAATAAATAACCAAGTGACCGTTTGTAGTATCAGAAAACTTCATCCTATTAGTTTTTTTTGGTTACACATTTCTTGCTAAATAGAGAGTTTGTGTCTTGGGGAAGCCTGGGCCAGTCGACAAGACTGCAAATGAGAAGAATCCATCCTGGGGATTTTTCTTCACCTTGCTTACATCAAAAGAAATTTCACTGTATATTATTTGATGAAGGAGGAACTCTCTGAAGAACCAGTGGTCCATCTACACACACATTACAAAATAACTGCCTGGAGCTATATCTTAGTACTACTGATAACCTAGTTTCTTCCATGGTGAGGGTCATTAAATGGCACATTAATATTAAAGCCTACAACACAGTGACCTTATCATTTACTGCCTCAATAAATCCTCAGAGACAGACTTTCCATCCCCTGAGTGGCCAAACAGTCTCCCTACGTCATTTAGCTGTCCTCAACACACTCTTCAAGCACCTCCACCTCACCACATCCATTTATCTTTCCATCCAACCTCATTTGGCTCCCAACTTTGTTTCCACTGAAGTGGCTGTGATGCTGCTTGGAATTTCCATGAAACGCTTCTGAAGCTCAATCTGCAAAGCCAATTTAGATTTTGCTCTGCATTCCACATTAAAACGCCCAAATCACTGCGTTCTTCCTCCAGGTTATAATCAGAACGACATCACATGATACACAGAGCAGTGATGAATCAAGGAACGCTTCCAAACGGTGCAAGAAGTGAGGGAAGAATCATGTCAGTCATACGCAAACTTCACACTCACTATTCAACCGCTTAAGTAAATTTTAAAAACTAAAGTGAAAGAAAAGTAAAAGTCCTTCACTTTTACTCCTACTTAAAAACTAAGAGCTCAGTTATCCATCTTAAAAGAATCCATTCTTTAAGAAACACCAGAGGTCTCTTACTGTATGTTTGTTGAGGGTAGATGCAAGATGACTTAATCAAAGAAACAGAGATGATCACACACTTTAAAATGCCCAACACTGGCTGAACAAAATATCACTGCCAATGATAAATGATGTTTTTTTTTTTTCAAGCAGTGTGAGTAATCCAGTGAGTAAGCCTGCTATTTGCATTTGATTTGAACATCTCAGTCTATTTTCTATTCATTAATCCCCATTTGTATATTAGAAATACTGTACATTAGATTCTTGTTCATTTTACTGTGCATTGTAATTGCTAGTGGGAATATTAGGGATTTCACACAGATTAAGGCAACAACAAAAATCGCATGTACTTTTTAATTTTAGCATAACCGGGGCAAACCGTAGGATTTTATTTGACGAAAAAAATTTGACAATAAATAATATGGCAGATGTAGGATAAATCCAGTGATGGAAGAAGATCTTTTAGCTAAATAAGAGAAGCAAACTGTTTATTTATTTGCACATGTCTTGTCAGCCTGGTGAGCAGGTGGTTTTATTAGAGATTTTAAATGACAGCAGCTGCTTGCCGCAGAAAAAAATGCACTATGCGAGCATTAAGAATGAACCAAAGCACGGAAGTTAAACAGTTAAACAGTGACCTGAAACTCACTACAAAGTTCTGTCAAATCAAGGTGAGCCGCAAATGAGTCGTCTGTAAATTCACCATCGTTTGACACATTGTCAGCAGTGGTGAAATAAAAAATAAAGTCATAATTGTTGCTTTAAGTGTAATTCTTAGACGTTTGATCAGTCCAGGTGTTTGGTACGGTGGCCGACGGGGGCAAATAACGTGCATTTGTTTCCTTTTGCAGCGTGTTTGCAGCTTTTTCTTTTTGCAGCGCGTTTCTGTTCATGCAACGCATTCATGTCTATGCAGCTCGTTTGTGTACATGCACGTCATTTGCCCCCGTTGGCCACCGTAGCTTGGAGTGCTTTCATCATGAAAACCTAACTGCATTTCTGTCGTTCTCTTCCTAATGTCACAGAGAACCCGGTGTAGAGGCACGTGCAAGGACTAATTGTTTTGTAATATATGTCAACCACTCTGCTGCTTTGGGCTTTGCCATATTTTACTTGGCTACAAATAACAAAACTTTACAGCAGGCCACCTGTCAGACCCTGTGTGTCCACTGAGATTCTTCCCCTCGCCTGCAAGGTGCTAAAAATTCAGGAGCTGCACACCTGGCTGACCTGTTCCTCCCTCCCAGTGGTCTCTGCATCTTTGGATCGTAGCCTCCTTGCCCGCTCCCTCAGTCACCCATCTCCACCTACCTCCGCACCAGCCAAGTGGTAACGTGTTTGTACACAGTGACAGACTGCTCCTACATTTTGGATGTCTGCCAGTTGCTATGATACCATCGCCGCTTTCACAACCTTCGAGCTTGCTCATACGCTGCTATGGGTTTTGTCTCTTTCACAGAGTTACTTTCTTCTCTTTTTTTTTTGTTTGTGAGCATTAATTTTTTTTTGAAACAGCCTGCTGTCCCACTTTGTGTGATGCCCTTGAGTTTGAGCAAAGTATTTTTGAAAGGAATACATTACCATGCTCTAAATACGACGACGCCCCTGGTCACCTCTGACCTCCGCTTTCCCTTTCTTCAAACTGTTTTTGACTTCCTTTAGATTCCCTGTGCTCTTCCTCCATGAGCCACATTTCTAATAAAACTCTCATTTACAGCCCTCTGCTATCTGTCCTGTTTCAGTTGAGGCAGGTCTGGGATATTGCAGTAATGTTATGTGAATGGATGTAAGTAGCATTTTAACACATTTTGCTGCAAGGGAAATATTCTCCAGAACTGACCCGAATCATAAATTGAAAGAACGCTGAAAATTCATAAAGGAAAATGTTCGAGGTAATAAGTTGTCCATATTTTAGCCTCTGGTGTATCGGGCTAGATTTTATTTGATAAAAACCTTGTAAAAAGAGAAGGATTTTGTTGAAAAGTTTTAAATTCATTTCAGTTATTCATATAAGATACATCCATAATTGCTCAATGACTATTCATAAAATGGAACAACTCACCCCAAAGCTAGAAAGCACAGAGCCAAGACTTAATGAGACGCTGATATTTAAGGATGATCCAGTGTATTATTTTATTATTATTCATATTTTCTGTGCAAGCTACCTGACTGGGGGCATGTTTCTGCTAAATATTCACGGAGTTCATTGTTTTGATAAAACAAATACATTTGATTGATTTGTTTGTAATTTTTTTGCACGCAGGAACGTGATTTATCAAACACACAAGACAGGAAAATAGATACAGAACAGTGCGAAAGACAGAAGATGTTACAATAAAAGCGCTACAAAAACTTTCATCCATCAGATATTAGTAAGTTTAATGAAGTGATTAAAATTTGATACACTTTTCAAAAATGTGACCGCAGTGAAATTGGCTTCCTTTCCCCCAATTATAATTTTCATGCTTATTCTGTATATCTTCCAGAAGCTTGATTCCTGTAGGATTTGTCTGTGATCAATACATTGCATTTAAATGTAAAAAAAAAGATCATTAAAATATACCAGTGTGGAGCATAAAAAATCGTTAACATAACCTTATGAACCTGTTCACATTTTAGATAGTCAGCCTTAGATACCTGCTCATATCTGTCCAATACATTCACTGTTATTAGTGTTT